ATGATATCAAACATGTTTTTTTTTATTAAAACCCTAATTTTCTTCCAATAAAGAAAATCTGAAATAAACTAATAAAAGTATGTAATTATGCTAAAATAATTTTTTAAAAACCACCATTTTCGCAAATCCAATAAACTATAAAAAGTAATCAATTTGTCCCAAATCAAAAATAAAAAACCAATAAATTAATGATATCTATTGGGAACAGTAATGATCCTCTTACCAAACAGTGGTGAAAATGTTACTAACAGTAATTCAGCAATACGCACAGCTATATATTATGCAATAAGATGATTTCTCCTTATAGAGCTTTCTTACAATTTGACAAAAGGTACATACGCTTGACGAATCATACGAAAGACCCGTTTGAGGGATCGTTTATTTTGACTTTTCATTTCTTTTTATGTAATATTAATCAAGGATTTATATGGCGTTTCGCCTCAATGTTTGGACATTAAGGACCATTCACTGCATGCAACGACATATGTCTACCTTAAATTTTTATGCGACATAGTTATTTTGTGACGTACGATGTAAAACAAAAAATCCAGGGTGAAGGAGGCAACTCAACAAAATTTGCTCTAAACATAGACTCGTCAAAAACAAAAATACTCCTTAAAAAATGTTCTCAACATTGGTCTATTATATGCACAATTAAGCCAGTTTAACCACAACTCCCAAGTTTTTTTCAGTATAACTTGCTGTTTAATTGTTTTTGTTTTGTTTTGGACCATTTTAGGTTTTTTTATCCAGTGTGGACTATATAACGTTCATATTCTCTTTGCATTGATGTAGATGATCAGCTATATGTTGGTTGGTTATATCTCAGCTGCGTGTGAGGGTGTGTGTGTTTGTGTGTTAATTGTTCCCTTGGAATTGACACTGTATTTCACATTTTCGCTCATGTTCTTTAAAATGCTAAATGCACCACTGATTGGTCCACAAATAAAAAATGATTTTAAACCATTTATTCATGGGATCGCAAGTGTTGCAATATTTTCTGTTAATGCTTTAACCTTTATATAAATAGGAAAAAATCATCACAAAATTTTATTTTTTTTTCCTTCTCGCAGATTTTTTTTATAAATTTTTCCATTCATTGTAGTTTCTTTGTCTTGTACATGTAAATGTCGATGATGCACGTTGACAATTTGTTGATGGCGTACTCATTAATAAATAAAAAATAATTGTGAATATTGTCTTAAATTTAAAGTATCAAACTGCCAGAATTTCATTAAAATGTTAATAGTTTAAACATGTGAAAAAATGCATGCTTGAACAATTCCTGCTCAAATGTGTGTAATCGTGGTTAACCTAAGCAACTTATCGGACGTAAGTGTATAGTTTATACTATTTTTCTTTATTTCCAGATATTAAATGCATATCTTACTTGCGATATGCTTAACTTTTTAAAGATACATTTCATTCAGGAAAGAATGCCATTTTATCCGATAAAACTCAGACACTCAATGTTATTGTGGGAATGTTAAACATACTTCCTTTAAGTTCGTTCGTATCTTTCGTCAAAATGTGAGAAAGCTCTTATAATGCCGGTCACCTGATGATGTAAATCAAATATTTGAGAGTGGATTATAAAGAGGTCTTTTTTAAACTTATTTCATGCAATTGTTAAAAAGGGTGGTGAAGATAACATTGAAGGAGTCATTGATTTAGTATTAAAAAAAAAGTTCAAACATATATTGGTGTCCTTCGGCTGTTTTCTGCTCTTTGGTCGGGTTGTTGTCTCTTTGACACATTCCTTGCTTCCATTCTCAATTTTAAATATAGTAGACATACAAATAATGTTAATAAAATACTTACCATGCAATTATTGCATTTACAATGTGAATTATTGCAAGATCCGATGGCGGCACAACTATTTAGCATACCTAAACAACAACCTTTACATCCGTTATCATCGAGGTTTCCATTAGAACAGAATGTGCTTGTACATGTCGAATGGGGTTCTTGTATAGCTAACAAATAAAATGTATTAATTGCAATTAAAAATATCAACGGCTTACACCATTTAAGACTCAGAAAATGTGGTTAACTAAATGAAAAAAATGCTGCTATCTGCAAAGTACAAATAGAGAGAGAAATATCAAATGCAACAATCAGACAGGTCAATGGATAACATAAAATTAGTGCAATATAGTGCACATACTGACGTGAGGCTGAATCATTGTACGTGCACAGAAACTTACCCATTTGTTTTCAGTCCACGCCATGTATTAAGTATAACACACAATATAAATCTTCACTTAATGACCATGCGCAAAACTCGTGTCGTATTAGCTATTAAAGGTCTCAGGATAACAAAATCTGAACCAATTCAAAAGTCAAGAGAAAACTGTCTGATTTCAGTTAACAACATTAAACGATAAACAAATATAACAGACAGTAACCAGCGACAACCACCGGACCACATGCCTCTTGCTTTATACACGCACATACAGAATGTGGCGGGGTTCAATATTTTCATAAAGATCTAGAACTAAACGTAATAAAAAAAAACAGGAGTGAATGTATCAGAAATACGGATGAATCAATCTTATAACTGCCTGATTTAAGCTAACAACATTTAACGACAAACAAATATAATTTCTGATTTCTGGATAAAAACAAATAAAAACAAATATAACAGACAGTTACCAACAACCACCGGACTACATGCCTCTTGCTTTATACAAGCACATACAGAATGTGACGGGGTTCAATATTTTCATAAAGATCTAGAACTAAACGTTATAAAAACAAGAGTAAATGTATCAGAAAAACGGATAAATCAATCTGATAATTGACGATGGTTTTCAATGCATGTAATTGTTTAGCCAACGCTGTTTAATTGGGCTTCATTTGGGACATTCCAATAAATGTGTATATCGTTTATTTTAATGTTAAACTGTCGAATTTTTTAAATCATCGAAAACAAAACTAACTCACAGTGTTCCTTATTTATTCTTTTATCATTTAACTATCCATTTAGTGTTTAATGTCTAAAGCTGTTATAAACAATAACCACATTATGTATTAATCAAATTAGGATCCACTTTTTCTCGAAAGTAAGCACGGAGTAACATTGTAAATTCTTTTTTTTTTTTTGTGATTTTGCAGTAATAAAAAAAAAAATCTGTTTCTACATAAAAAGAAGGAAATCTAGATACAAATGTATTTTTTGTCATGAAAATTCATACTTTATGAAGAACCATACCGATGTCCACAACAAGTACATCGAAGATGATATTATCAAAATTGCTTGGCATTTTTTACCGATTACATATTTGCTGAGTTTCATGTATTGATATCTAAGCACACAGTCGATATTCCATTGAGTATGAATTGTGCACAACTGCTGACTGATTCATTCTTGTACTCATATAAAACAATATTCATACAGAAAATTTTTTAAAGACAAAAAGAAAAAAAACATCATGCAAAATTCTTTTGTTTCACTTTCAAATATATTTGGGATGTCCTATTTCTCAATTATCCATATTTCAGTAGATGCTTGCATCTCATATATTCCAGTGGATATTAGAACTACAAGTTCTACTTTAAATTTTGATGTTTTCCTCGATATTGACACAGATGGCGACTTCACACTAGAAATAATGACACATGTGTTGATTCCAACCTTCAATTGTCAACTTCCAAGCAGTAATATACTTTTATCTAAATCGTATTATGTTAAAATATATTAATTAATTACGCACATGTACGTTCGTGGTCTACAGACTTATTTAGCAGTTGCATGTTCGGTACACAACAACTGCTCCAACAGGGTTATAAGGAAGAATGACTGACACACACAGTTTTTACGATCATGGTCAAGAATTTGCTGACCCATATGATATATATATGTATTTACTCTCTCTAGCGACATGTTTTTCGTAGTTTTAGATTCTTAGATACCAGAATTGTTGTCTAATCTATTGTTTAACAGGTCGTGTCCTATTCCTAAATGTTACATTTTAATTGAGCGTGGATTTGTATGGCGGGGGATGCCTGCATAGGAGAAGACGCTTATCTTGTCGATGTGCCCGTTCTCACTACTTTTGGAGTTCGTTGGATTCCATCAGTCTTTGTTTGTTACTTTTATTATGTGTTCTTCGTCGATTTATGAGAATCTAATATCGGTTAATTACTGTTGATTAAGGTGGATGGGGTTTCTTCCTCTATCTTGGATTTTGAAGTAGCAGATAACATTTGGTCTAGATCTTTAATGAAATGTGCAAATTTTGAGAGTAGTAATACTATGTAATTCATGTGTAAGACTTTTCATGTTAATATAGAACATTACAATGTATGTAATGTTCTATATTAACATGAAACATTACAATGTATGTGTTTTATCATATTTACGGCTGTATTTTCTAATAACACAATATTTTTGTTTGATTAATGTTTTTTCAACTTTGCCACATAAGGGAAAATAATTCAGATAGTAGGGGAGATACTTCAGATACAGTAATTTTTATAATAGAAAGTGTTGTGAATTTACCTATTTTAACATGTAGCAAGAAAACATGTCCTTTATTTTCTTTTTCTTATCTGAAAGCATGTTATAAGAGTTATCTTCTAACATTTTATCTCAAAATTCTATGGTGTAGTATTCTTTTTATCACACAATATTGAATTTTCCAAGCATAATCTATATAAAATCTGACAATTTTGTACAACCTTTGGCGTGCAAAAAAGTCCGGTGACCCATACTTTTTATTATATTTTGGAAAAAAGCATGATAAAAACTACATCCACATCCACCTTAAATTGTGTACGAAATGTCAAAATGAAAATGTTAACTTCGAACTGAGAAATGTCAATTTTAACTTAGAAATTTCAATTTAGAAGTAAGAAATGTTTAAATGGAAATGAGATTATCAAAAATAGAATATCCTACCAGTCTTTCATATCATTGGGTCATGTATCAATTGGTTAAATAAAATGCCTTACAAGTACATCCATCACAATGACAGGCAGTTACACCATTCAACTACATCCCTGACCAATGCAACACCCATTACAAGCAGCGCTGTTTTTGGTACTAGAACAGAAGTTGTCAGTACATAACCCTTGAATGGACTCTTTTACACCTAATCGAAAACAAAACTAAAATTTCACTTATTTATTTAAAGGACATATACTAATGGAAATGGTTATTCCAGATTCAGTTTTTTAATATTTTGAATTCTACTTTGAATTCTTTTCTGCATGTTTTTTCTTTTTGATTTCTGGATAAAAACGTTAAAAAAAACTGGAAGAGATTAGTACATTTCACAAAAAGAAACTATAGAGTAAAATGAAGATTTTTCAATATTATGCCTTAGAAGTAATGTAGCATCACACAGTTTCAATTTGTTTTCCTTTAAATTTTGATGACCGGTCAATTATTTAAAATATGGACAATTTTATGCAATAAAATTAATTTAAGGTACTAGTAGCAGATCAATTACAAAGCATTGCAAAGGATTTACCTGAACATGCCATCTTTAAAAGTAATTTTATAGAACTTTCTGAATCTATGTTGGGTATGGCTATACAAATTAAAACAGTTTTAATTTGTATAGCCATACCCAACATAGATTCAGAAAGTTCTATAAAATTACTTTCTCCTTTGTTTGAACTCAGAAACTGTGATGCAATTTAACGGAAAAATGAGACGAAAAGCAACAGACTTTATTTTAATATAACCTTTTAAAAGAAATAGAAATGCATGCTTTTGACCAAGTTTAGTTGCAATAAGGGCCATTTCCACGCCTCTTTTATAGTTTTATGGCAAATGAATGCAACAGATACAAAAACAAAAAAATATACTTCATATCATAAATCATTTGAAATTCAAGGAATATTTTGATAACATCAGGTCCGGAAATTTTGCTTTTCTGGTAAGGTCGTGCATTTTGCCGAAATAGTAATAGATGAAATGATTAAACAGACGTGCGGAATTTCCGTCATACATGTATGTATAAAAATGTTACACATTAACGATTATGCTCAATTTTTAAGAAAGTTAGAAGGGTCAATTGGATTGTATGTCCTAGTTGTTCGTTGCTAACAAAACGATTATACGCTATAAAACCAGGTTTAATCCTCCATTTTTAAAATAAGGAAATAATACAAAGATATTTTTTATTGCATGCATTAATCATCAACCTGTAAGATTTCAATATTACTCGAACATTCAGTCTAGCAGACCATTTTTTCTATAACGTAGCCAATAGTCGAGATAAATCGTACAGGCAGCTTTAGGAAGAAAAACGTTCAATAACTAAACACTTATTACCGAAGGGCGTGGTCCTTTCATAAGTAATATTTTGTCTGTATGACAATTCTGCATAATACAGAAATATAAATCAGCAGTTTTGAAGATAAATTTTGTAATTTTTTCATTAATATCAATATACGAGTCGACCAGTGTATCGATGTGTTGGTGCTAAGAACAGCTTCAAGTTCCGATGATGATATTGGTTATATCAACAAAACCGAGTGAATGGTTTCTTTTTTATTTATCAGTCAATGTCGGAATCATAAATATATAATTTTAATCTGGTTAGTAAGTACCAAAAGTATATATCATATGGAATCTTTTAATGGATTTATGTTATTGTTTTTGTTATGGTTTTAGTCGGATGATCTGTTATGTCTTATCGTTTGTAGTCAAAATAATTATAAAATTGCCTTTCAATACCATTATTGTCATGAAAATTGTTTGGACCAATATTGTGAAAATAGTTGTATAAAGTTCCAGATTGCATGTTAGTTACGTAAGCGCGTCACTGTTTTTGATATCCTGTGGTGTTTTTCGTTGATGGATAATATGTTCGTTGTTGTTCTGTGGTTTGTATGTTGTGTCGACTATTATGTTATTTGTTTGTGCGTTTCTCTGTCATGAATGTTCTTGCGTGTGATTGTGCTGTATTTCTGTAACGTAGTGTTTTAGCGATATTTTGTAACATTGTCATATACGAGGGAGGTTTGGCATGCTATGAAACCAGGTTCAATCCACCATTTTTTTTCTTAAAATGTCCTGTACGTAATCAGGAATATGGCAGTTGTTATCAAATAGTTCGTTTCTATGTGTGTTGACGTTTGTTTTTGTTGCACTTCGGTGTTCCTGTTGTTCATTTGTTTTCCTCTTATAGTTGATGTGTTTCCCTCGATTTTGGTTTGTAACCCGGATTTGTTTTCTCTAAATCGATTTATGACTTTTGAACACCGGTATACTACTGTTGCTTTTATTTAAAGAACTATATGTTCTTACCTACTGCAAAAACAATAAGAACAAAAAGTAGGACTGTATTATTCATGTTGAAGAGTTCCTGAAATATAAGGATTACAGTTATAAAATATATATTTTACTTTGCACGATCATGGTAATTGTAACAGTTATACAAAGCACTTGCAACACAGTAAATTAAGTTTCAATGAAAAATCCGAAAAATAGTTCAAATAAGAATCAGGAATTCAAAAGACATACAAATACCATGTTATGTATACTTAATTATAAGCCTCCTATCTTTTCAAAACGTTTTTACAACTACTGGGTCGATGCCACTGCTGGTTGACTATTTTCACAGAGAAAGTTAGCAGCCCAGTATCGCCCAGTTGAAGCTCCTGTATTGACCTGAAATATCATTGATGTGGTCATTTTCTAGAAATTATTTTTTCAAAACACATCAAAAACATTCGAAACACTAAGTTTTTCCTATCCCATGCACATATAGTCTTAGTTAAATGTGGCATCACTTTTAGGAAGGTTTTGATTCTCAATACTCTTTAATTTCGTAAATAATTTTAGCCTCCAAACTGTTTGATTCGAATGCAGCTTATAAATATTAAATAGACGAAATGCACATCTAATATACTAATTTATAATTACCATGGCTTTGTCAATTTATTTTCGATTTATGAGTTTGAATATCCCTTTGGTATCTTTCGTCTCTCTTTAAGAAGCCTTGTAACTTGAAAAGTGTTTGTGTCTGTAACAATGTTTTCCGTCTTGTGTTTCAAATTTTATATCTGTTGAATAGTGTATTTCTCCTTGCTGTTTGAAAGGGTTTTCATTAAACGCAGAAATGAGATTTTTTAAATATGTGTAAACACTTTTTCTTCATTTTTGTTACTATAAAACAACTTTTAAAAAAATAGAATCTGACACACTCCAGTTTGTTACACGTAGCATTTATTTTTTAACTGCCCGGGAGTTTCATCAACTGATGTAGAAAATTGCTTTTTTCCAACTAGTGTTATCGAAACTGATTTTTACAGTATAGTACATGTATAAACTATTATTATTTATTTGATATAATAGTTGTGTAACAAATTCATTGCTTAATGAAGTAAAAAGGCACAGACACCTAATTTTACCTTTGTATTTTATGAAAAGGAAAAATCAGGAATGACTTTTTTATAAATACTTTTGTTCCTTTCACAAAGCTCTACATACAGAAAAATAAAAAAAAAAACAAACGATCATTTCCTAGCCATCGAATAATATTGTTTTCTGCAAAATCTGTAAAACGCACACTTGTAAACTAATGTTGATATGCAACAGCAATTTGTAATCTTTAAAAGACCGAACAATAAATTATTGAGTCACCTTCAGTCTTTAAGTCAATTTTCTGACTTATTGCAGTAATTTCAGTACTGTTTAGACAATTCGCTTGCAGTTAGTTCAGATCTGTTCAGTCTAAATTCAGACTGATCTGTATTTGGTATTTATTTGTACATATTAGCATCACACTGTAATGTCTGAAAAACATCTGAATAGTACTTAATTTACTGCAAGCTAATTGTCTTATTACCCCAGTGGATAAAGCTAAAAATTGACAGAAAGACTAAACATGACTGAATCATTTATTGTTCAGACTTTTCAAATGATGTTAAGGTAAAAATGACATTTTAAGACTGAAATTCAGTTACTAATGCCATATCATAGAGTCCTTTATGCAAGTCCCCGAAATAACGAAATATGAAACAATTCAGATGAAAAAACTCCCGAATTTATGAGCAGAACCATAAACGAAAAACAAATATGACAGACACCAAACCCAACCACTGAATAACCGAGGTTTTGAATTGGGCAGGCACATTTAGCGTACAGGTACAGTTAATCCTCCGAACAAAATAGTTGTATCGATGAAAGAGTTAAGTAAAAGTTTTAAGTAATATATGATAATAAAATTCTCGACTGAATAATTTACCAGTTATACATAGATAACGTTAATTGAAATCTAAAACGTCACTACAGAAAAAAACAAAGCGAGCGAGTTGGGAAATATACAAGTTAACAAGGTGCAAAATGAGCATCACCGTCTTATTTATATGTTGTGTTTTGCGTACTGTTGTTTGTGTTTTGGTCGTTTTTCATTTTTTGCCATGACAATTTCAGTGAATGTTCAACTTTTGAGTTAGAATATCCATTTGGTATCTTTCGCCCGCCTTTTGTTGTCAACTTTTGTTTTGAGTTTTCTGTATGAATCTGAAATATCCAAATCGACGAATAGACATTTATCGTTAATATTATACTTATTTTAATTTAGTTCCCTTGGGTAATTCTGAAGTATAATAATAGAATTTTTGATTTTTCAAAGCAAAAATATCTTCAGGTATTATAATTAGAAATTAAACAAAATTGACATCTACAATACAAATTTCAGTATTGCCCAAGAATGGAGCCGTAATGGAATCCGCAATTCTGCTTAAACACCGCTAATTCAAATTTTTCCCATATTTAAAGATAAAATTATAAAATAAAGACAAGAAAAAAAGTTTCATCAAACTTGATCAAATTGAATACACCAAAACTAGTAAAACAATAGGTTCATCCATTTCGGTCCTTTTAAAAATTGTGTAATCAATGACAGTCTAGATCGGAACGTATAAAAAATAAAGAGTATATCACACAAACAGTACAACGTATAGTTACATTTGGCTTTTAACTAGCTTTCAGTAACTGCCAGTAACCTTAGATCGGTACCTAGTGTATAAAGTCTTTTCATTTTTTGTTTTTGTGTATTGTGTCGATTTGACGATGTTTACAGTTGTCCTGTTGCACCTCTGTTCCGTGTTAGGGGCGGTTTAGAGCTTGCATACATGTTTACCCTACCACATTCTGTTAATGTCAGTTCCAAGTCAGGATCCCATAATTCAGTGGTGGTTGTAGCTTGTTGTTTTTCATATTTGTTTTTCGTTTATTGTTTTGTTAATAACTCAAGTCATTCCATGTGTTGTTTGAATTGTTTAAATTTACATTAACTTATGTCGGGTTTCTTTATAACTGACTTTATGGTATGGGTTTCGCTGATTGTTGAAGGCTGTGTGGTTGATTATAATTGCTTAAATGAACTTCATTCGTTTTCTAGAGGATAGCTGTCAAAATGACAATCATACCACATCTACTTATTATAAAAAGTATGAAAAGACTAGACTTCTGAATATTTGTCAGTGTAAATACACATTTAACAAAATAGAATAGCATCATTCGACTTTATACAATTTAGAAGCATCCACAGTATTTTCGAACTTGATTTTTTAATAAAGACAATAAATTCAACAGAAACACACCAACGAATTGTCTTAAAACCACGAAGAGACAACGACAACAACCAACGACCCTTCTCAAAGTGACTGGTTTAAACATTTAAATTGGACAGATTCGAATCATAATTTTTAGCTAAAGCAGAATGTTGGATTTGTCTTTTTTATTTGCACTTAGTAGTTTATGGATGTTAAAATCTAATAAATCGATTTAGAAGATACAAATCATGGTAACAAATTAAACAAACTCTTATGGAATCGCATGACATCCAAAAGGAGCGAGACCGTGTTAGAGTCTCCATCTATGCATCCACAGTCAGCCAAAATGTTTCAATCGAGAATATCAGATCAGACGCTTAAGACAATTGTTGCCTGGTGGAGTTTAAACGTTCGTTTTGATTGCTGACATAATAAAAGTAACAATTTTAAAAATAAAGAAATAGGTATTTTTATTGTTTAAATTTTATTTACTAGATAATTTCTGAACTTTTAACATTAACGGTATAGACTTCTGGATTAATTTGGTTCTTACTTTGTTTTGGTTTGTTATTTTCTGCTCTTCGAGGGATGGAAGCTTTATGTAAGAAGGTTTTATCAAATTTACTGCTGTAAGGTATAAAGTTTTTAGTACATATATGATGCGGTTATGCGTCAAAGACACATTTTTAAGACCGACTATATGCTTGCTAAGGAATAATATTGTCAGTTTAACGGATTATATCTAAATGTCCTCGGATGGAAACTATCCAAAAAATAGGCATTTAAAATGTTTTAGAGTGAACGAGTATGTTGTTTAAAATAATAATAATAAGAGTAAATATCTACAATGGTATCAACATGTTTAACTTGCTGCATACATTGGATTGATAGAAAACTAATATTTAATTATATGAATAAAAAGTTAATTCACTGCATTGATAAACCATCAAGCGTTCACTTACCGTATTATAGTTTTGTGCACAAAGTCCATCCTGACTTCTAAATTTCATTAATATAGTGCCTTATAAAAAAGACATGATTAATAGGATAATAAAATAATGGGGATTATGAGTTGTGAGGAATTTATCATTACCGTCATATTACATGTAGTAAAGTTCAATGGGCGAAGTTTGTTTACCTTTATTTATTCTTTTTAAATCTAGACATAATTAGTAAGGATCATTTATAAAATGATTTTGTTATATGTCTTGTACGCAAACAAACAGAACACTAATCATTTGCATACTTTCAGCCCTGAAATGTAATGCATGGTTGTGCTCATGTGAACCTTTTGAAGGCAGTGATACTGAAAGTGAGATTATAATTCGTTAAATAACAATGAAAAAGTGTTGTAATTACACAAATATACTGTTCTTCTGTATTTTTAAAGTTAGGGTGTATTTATTCTTACGATACCTTCTCTTATGTGTGCCACACCATTCTCTCAATTGTAGACCAGGTAGTGTACAAAAGACGCAAACCACCTATTATTAGTCCCCATTCATATCCACGTTAAATTATTCACTTTCAAATATTTTTGGGTGGCAGGATCAATATACAGTTATTTACACATCAGACCATACTGGTTACTGGAACTTTTTAAACACCATACCAGGTACTTCATATCTTAGAAACAGGCAATATATGCCCATAATGTTAGAACTCATTCATACATTTTTGTATTATTCAAAATGATCAGTCAAAATGAATGTGTTCTACAAGGATCACCAGTCCTTCACCCATTCATTTGATGCCTAAATTACCAAAATATATTTTACAAAGTTAGATAGGAACTCTTTTGTTTTAGATATGTACTACTTTCCAGTATGTTCTTTTTGACTGGGCCCGATTTGGTGGTGTTACACTTTACAAAGTCTATTCGATTTTTTTTTTGCAGAGAATTGCGCTCAAACCGGTGCAAGGGGCCGTCTTAAACGTGCAGGCAGGTGAGAGTTTTATTTTTTGGTTCCGCGTTGAAGGCCTCATTGTGACTTTGAGATAAAGAACAGCAATAAAAGCACTGTTCTTTTGTTTTTTGTGTGTTTTGCTGTGCATGTACTGATTTTGTGTCATGGAGGGATACCCCATATCCTTTGTTTTTTCTTTTATCACCCCGTAAATTGATAATAGATTTGAAAAATGAGTGAAACTTTTGAGTAAAGTATTCCTGTATATAAATATGAATAAAAGACCATTTGTACTCAGGAATCATCAGTAGGCAGATGGTTAGAAAAACGCTTTTCAAAAACACATGACGTATTAGTGCAGTACGCAGTTCCAAAGTTAAGCATTCTTTTACTAGTATTTGGATGTCCGGCGAATGAAAAACGCTTGCGTGTTAAACTGTTGAAATTCTTTAAAATGACGAGCATTTTTAGCAAATCTCTATTATTCTCAGCACTTGTTTTCTATAATATGTCCCCTCTTCTCGCTTGAGCAGCTGTGTGCTTGAGAAATATTCTAACAAGGTGTTATGAAATAAGAAAATTTAAAGGAAAATGCGAAAACCTTTTGGTCCCAACTTTATTACTTGAAAATGTGTGCCAACTTTAGGGGTGAGAACGGTTTTATAAATATCCCCGGTCATCACACCCTCAGTTGTAAAATATTTTTTCGCCATAATTGCTTTGTTTCATTTGTTTTAAATGTTAATTGTGTGTACGTAATTAAAAAAAGAAGCTATCCAAATGATTTTTAGAAACGTAGAAAGACAATTAATATCACAATCGGCGAACCCTGTATCTGGATGAAAAGATTGGAGATTGAGAGAAGAGACATCAATAAATATTCTTTATTGGTAATTATTTTTTTTCTTTTATGTATTAATCTGTAAAAACTCTTCAAGACACCAAGGTTATACGCGCGTTTCGTCTACATAACAACATAAGATTCTTCAGATTGATATGTAATAATCTTCAAAGAAATCTATTTTGGTATTTAACGCACACTCAAAAGTTGACAAATCAATGATTGAATACAATACAGTTGTTGGTCAACAAAATTTAGCACATTCATGTAACATTCTTCAGATTTTCACGAGATATTATTCTGTAAGATATAACTATTTTATTTTATGAACTTTTCATGCTTTCCTGAGGGCTTCAAGTTCTTGCATTCAATGCAAAGTAACAAAATCTCTCAAAATAGCCTCATTTTGAAATCTTGTCACGATCATTAAGATCATTTAGATACATGAATGAGCTACACCCTTACATTTCCTTTTACCTCCTGTTTGGTGACTACATGTATGTTTTAAGTAAATGAAAATTTATATCTAACATATACATATATAAAGAATAATACTGAAATTCTACATATTCTATTATTAGAAAAAAAAAAACTCAAAGGCCATGAATATATAGACCTATGGATACGTACCTTTAACTGATGTACATTTGTCCAACATGTGTTCTTATGATGAATGCATACACTGTCTTGAATAATTTACAAATAATACATTAAAAACAGGAGCCACTGTCAATAATACGTTTTTAATTGTGACAATTGATTTTGTGTATTTCAAGGAGTTTGATGTATAAAAATATTCAAACGTAAATGAAAATCACATGGGACATTGTAAATAAGAATCTATTAAACACCGGGAGAACTTCATGTCTGATGAAGCAAATTTGTCTACTAACATATTGGGTGAATATAAAATGTATAACTAATTTATTGTAACTCTCGTGTGCAATTTAAAGTTACCACTATACGCAATGATATTATTTTACTTTTGTGACCACAAGAGATCATCCTTAACTGGTGCTCACGCATATTGATAACATGTTGATTGTTTATATTTCTAATCGATATATATAATATATATATACAAGTCTAAATTGAAAACAACCTTCAAACTTATGATTGCGTTGGATAAAAACCGCAATTTTTATACGTGTGCATGCAAAATAAATTTCTTGGTAGAGGGGTCTAATTACAGCACAAATAACATTTTCCAAAAGACCAAAAAAGTAAAAAAGTATATTTTTACAAAACGCATTTGACTAGCAGGTCGAACAACGGATGTTCTTAAACCCTGCTGACTGCCATGGCGATTGCCAATTAAACGGATCACCAGATGTAACAAAATGGATCTTAATGATTAATTTAATACCAAACAGAAAACAATAAACTTCCAGGAAAGATAGTAAACCACAAACCTGTAATATATATATATATATATACAAGTCTAAATTGAAAACAACGTTCAAACCTATGATTGCGTTTGATAAAAACCGCAATTTTTATACGTGTGCATGCAAAACAAATTTCTTGTTAGAGGGGTCTAAATACAGCACAAACAACATTTTCCAAAAGACCAAAAAAGTGAAAAAGTATATTTTAACAAAACGCATTTGACTAACAGGTCGAACAACAAATGTTCTTAAACCCTGCTGACTGCCATTGGCGATTGCCAAATAAACGGATCACCGATGTAATAAATGGATCTTAATTTTAAATTTAATACTAAGCAGAAAACAATAAACTTGCGGAGAAGATGATATATCGCAAACAAAAGGTGCAAAGGTTTTTGTACACCATATCCGGATTTCGACAAATAATGTCTCTTCAGTGATGTTAGGAATCGAAAAGGTATTTGGAAAGCCCAACAATTTACCTCAATTTAGGATAGACTCTTAAATTTTGAGGAGTCAAAATAGGATGAACGGATTATATAAACCCTAAGGCAAATATAATACAAGCCCAAACGAAAAAATATAAACAAGTCTAAATTGAAAACAACGTTCAAACCTATGATTGCGTTGGATGAAAACCGCAATTTTTATACGTGTGCATGCAAAACAAATTTCTTGCTAGAGGGGTCTAAATACAGCACAAACAACATTTTCCAAAAGACCAAAAAAGTGAAAAAGTATATTTTAACAAAACGCATTTGACTAACAGGTCGAACAACAAATGTTCTTTAAATTTAATACTAAGCATCACTGAAGAGACATTATTTGTCGAAATCCGGATATGGTGTACAAAAACCTTTGCACCTTTTGTTTGCGGTATATCATCTTCTCCGCAAGTTTATTGTTTTCTGCTTAGTATTAAATTTAAAATTAAGATCCATTTATTACATCGGTGATCCGTTTATTTGGCAATCGCCAATGGCAGTCAGCAGGGTTTAAGAACATTTGTTGTTCGACCTGTTAGTCAAATGCGTTTTGTTAAAATATACTTTTTCACTTTTTTGGTCTTTAGGAAAATGTTATACTAGTATATATATATATATATATATATATATTATACATAAATGTAACAATAACATCTTCATGCCTTATATATCATGAACTGTGTTACGACGCTAGATTAAAACTGACGAGGAAAGGTAACACCCGGCAAACGAAAGCTTTATTATTGTAGAGCCTAAGGGGTGTAGTGGTCTAGCACGTCGGGCACAATGCAAGGCGATTTGGTGCCACGATATCTCAGTTGCATGAGTTCGAGTCCTGGCCAGGGAAGAACAAAAAATTCGATAACGCAAATTTACAGATCTAACATTGTTGGGCTGTTATTTAGACGAATTATATACATTAATGTATATACGAAGAAAGTTGATTTGATTATTCAGATTATTAAACTACCCGAGCACAGTATGTAGTACTTCATTGACTTGGATAATAATAATACAATATTGTATTTGAAATTATAGACATTTATTTGATTGATTCATAGGAAATCTGGTAAGAAAACCTGACAAACATCAATTAGGACTTTTTGAATAAAATTTCCTTCGGATATATTATATTCGAACGTAATACATTTTTATCTCTTCAAATTTGAGGCATTTTTTACACCAATTACTGTTATCAGACCAGTAATTGACTCGTTTATATAATCGCAGTTTGGAAAATGTTTGGTTTTGATCTACTTACATGTATGGTCCTTTTAATTTTGAATTTTTTAGTTGTTTCCTTAATTGTTAGCAGGCGCTTATGCTCATGTTAGGCTCAGATTTGGCATACTATTTATTTCCGTGTAGTGCTATCTCACATATTTTTGTCGATCTG